TTGGGATCCTTTAAATTTAAACTAAAACTTGATAATCACTCTTCCCTAAATTATCATGAGTTTTATTGATTAATTGTGTTTAGTAGAGTGAGGTTTTACAACTATGCCCTCTTGTACATCACTTGCAACATCCATAAGATTGAAAAGCTCAAGTCAAAGTGGGATGGTCCTTACTTGATGACCAAAGTGCTTCCATTTAGTGTTCTCAAAATTTTAAATAAAGGTACAGGTTCCATACTTCAAATCAATGGCTACTTATGCAAGCTTTTCAAGAAGTTCGAATGGAACACTCCACATTACAACCATGAGCCTCCTTGACTAGGTCGTCTCTCTCCTTACGTGCCTTTTACTTGGATATTAATTGCTTGGTCAAGTGTGGGAGAGGGCACTCTAGTAGTGAAATTAGTTATTTTTCTTAATTGTTTGTTTGTTTTGTTTGTTCCATTAAGAAAAATCCTTCATTCATGCTTGCTCATGTATTCATTCTTAATTTTTATTGTCACATCATGTGTCTTTGCATACATTGTGAACAATGAACAATTCAAGTGTGGGGGAGGGAATAAATATTTTGTTTTGTTTATTTTGATTTAAAAAATTTTGTTTTATTTTGTTTGAAGTTGTTAATGATTGAGTTGATTGGATTTGAACATTAATTCTTGAATTATGATTGCCACAGAGTTCGAGTAACTGAGAAGTAATCATTTTTTACCTTGAGTTAATGAATTAGAGTGGCATTATACCTTTATTAGAAAAATCCAAACACTCTTGTGTGATTGTTCTCTTTGCTTATTTACCCTTTAGAACTTGCTTCACTTCTTATTTGAAATCACATTTCATGCACTTGATTTTAGGAAAATGATAGATGGCATTCATTTCATAAAGCTAAAGCCAAATGGCCAACCCTTGATTGTTATATATTTTGTTAGCCACTTTGTGCCTCTTGAAAAATTTCTTTTAAAAACATCCATCCCATATTTTCTCATGAACTGCATGTACATTCATTTGTCCTCTTAAAATGTTTTGCATATTTTTGTTCACATGGTGATTATCTTTCATGTTCCGTCCATCTATTCATTCACCCCTTTATCCACTTATGCATATTTGGCCTCCATTCCATCTTTAAGGTAAGATCCAATTTAAGAGAGTTAGAACAACTCAAAAGAAAAGATATAGAAAAAGAAAAAAAAGAAAGAAAGATATTGTTGAAAAAAGAGAGAGAGAGAGTTGAAAAGAAAGAGAAAAGGAAAAAGAAATATAAAGAAAGAAGGTTGCTAGCTCAAAATAATTGCCTTACTCATTTTCATCTTTATTCATTATTGAACTCTTAAAGATTGTCACCTATTTGAATTTTGTTATGCATTGCATATTAAGTTGCATTGATTCGGCCAAGACAAGTTTTTGTGCCAAACCCTAGTTATCACATGCATTTCAAAGTCATCCTTGCATACACTACATTACATCTCAATAAAACCTCTTGATTTTTAATTGAGTGCTATTTTATGGTAGAGATGTAGAGGTGTCACAAGCTTATGGTAGGATAATAACTAAGAGAACTTGAGTGAAATTGTATAACCCAAATACTTTGAGTGAGAGTGCAAACACTTTTTCTTGTAAGACTTACTTTATGTAATTGACTCTTGGTTAAAATTTGTATGTGATGTTCATAATTCTTTCTTTGTTGCAATCACATGATTGATGATAGAAACCAATTTTGCCACTCATAATTTGACATCTCTAAGCATCTCTTTTCTTTTTGTTTGCTTGCTTTGTTTTTGTTTTCTAGGGTTGAGAGTTAATTTTGTTGTCTTGACTTTGCCCAGAGTGTAAAAGATAAATGTGGGAGAATTGATAAAAACTCATTTTACACACTTTATTCATTCATTTAGGACCCATTTTAAATGTTTTATATCCTACTTTAGTGAATTCATAGTGTCAAAAGTAAAAAAATCACATAAGGGGCAAAATTATGCACTAAGGGTATTTGGGTCCAAAATTGCACGTTTTATGAAAAATTGAGTTAATGTTGTGTTCCATGTGTTTTATGCTCGGAAGAATGAATATGAAATTAGTTTTTCAAAATTTAATTTGGTTTGGGAGTTATAAAATACAAGTTACATTTCAAGGGTTGTTAACTATCGAATTAGGGTTTTATGTGCATGCATGAGTTTTCACATGTCATAACCCTTGAATTTTACTTTATTAATATCCTTCGATGAAAATTAATTATTTTCATGTGTAAGGATTTAATTATTAGGTCACATAAATATTTGATTTTGATTTTAAGTATATTTTATGACTTAGGTAACATATATTGACTGGGACATTTTGCAATTAGTTAAGGATCATGGAAGAGAGCTAAAAAGGACAAATGTGGCATCATTTATAGGCTGAAAAGGGAGAGAATAATCAAATTATTTGATTAAACAAGTAAGTTTCTTTGAGCCAATGAGAGAAAGCCCCCTATTTGAGCATACGAAAAATGGGTCTCACCCTAGTCTTTTTTCTCCTTTTTATTTTATTTTTTCCCCCCATTTTCAGCAGGAAATGCACGCACACATTAGCTAATTTCACCCAAAAAAAAATTAACCCTAACCCCCACACACAATCTCTTACCGCCTTCTTCATTTTCATTTTATATATTTTCTTTTGTTCTTCATTTTCTCTCATTTTTTCAACCATGGTAACGCCCTTCTCTCCTTCATTTCTCTTCATCTAACCATTGGATTATCACCAAATCACTCCCATTCTTCTCCTTTCACTCCCTTCTACACCTCCCTACCACTTGATCATCCATTTCATGCTCATTCTCTACTTGGCTCCATAAAGGGTTTTGGCCAACTTGAGCTTTTCATGGAGGACTTCAGGAACTTTAAAGGCTTAAATCATTTTGGGTACTTGAAGGAGGATGAAAGCTCAATGAACCACTTGGATCTTCAATTTTGTAATGCTTTTATTTTATTTTTTACTTTTTCTCCATCAATAGACTTGCAAGACCATAATATTGAATTGCTATATCTTAACTTTACAACCATAATCTTGGTTGATATTTTTATATGAGAATTGATTTGACTATAGTTAAATTTTATTTGGTATGTTGAGCTATACATTTTAGCCACTCTTGAATGTGTCATAATTTTGAATATTCTTGAGTGTTTTAACCTAGTTTATGCTTCAACATAATCTTGATGAGTGTTGATTGAGCTTGTTTGTAATTTACCATAATTTTGGGGGTCATTTGAGTTGTAAAAAGCTGAACATACTTGTTGAAATTTGCCATTAATCATCTAATTTGAGCCTAAAACTAAGTTAGGAAGTTGAATTAAGCTCTAGAACCCTCAGCTTAATTAGGATCTCTAGTGAAGTTAAGTTGTTAGAGAGAATTATCCTAATGACTTCATAATTTAGTTAAGGGGGAAGAATTAAGCGTGGCTAATTTACATTACATAAGTGGTTAAGATTTAAGCATTAATCTAACTCCAAGTGCCCTATTCTATCCGATTTTTACAAACTCTTTAAGTTAGGTTTTTATGTTTAAATTATGTAAATTAATATTTAGTTTAAATCAATTAAAATCAATCAACTCTTGAAATTTTTATTTTAATTTAATTATATAAAGAAACTCTAAATTTAATCTTTAAATGTTTCTTTAAGAGATGACCTAAGTTGCCACTATATTATATAGTTGATTAATTTAGTCTAAATTATTAAGTGTGCAACCAATTGGTTCAAAATGGTCAAAGGCTTAAAAAATAAGAGATTCGTATTAGTACCAGCTGTATCAACCCAGTGCCAGTAGTAATACTTAGAAAAATTTAAAAAAAAAAAAAAAAACACACACACACACACACGAAGATTAAAGCATAGCAGCACATTCATACCTCAAATTTTCTTTTTTAAATAATTATATTCCTATTAAACAAGATCTTCTCTAATTTGTTATCATCAAAATCAAAGTCCAACAATGTAAAATATAAATAAGGCAAGCACCATACTCTTTGTTTCTTTCCCCAAGAGTTTCTCTTGACAATGACTTAGCACCACTTCGCAGGAATTCAAATAATTCACTTCATATCATCCCCTCTTCAAATGTCGGCTCACTTACCGGCCAAGGAAACTTTTAAGAAGACATACGCTAAAGCCAAAATTTATTACCCCAACAGAAATATTTATTGCTCAAAAATTCATGAAGCTGCATTCTCCTTCAAATACAATATGGGATGGAAAATGAAGTTATTTAAAGAGCAATAATAGAATGACTACAGATGCTCAGGTCAAAGACAAGGTTTTGATTCAGGATATAAATAATCTAGGGCCAACAAAATGATGACCTAAATGCCTTCAGTAAACAACTTGTCCAAAGAGCTGCTTGCGGATCTGCAATAAGGAACCAAAAAATAAAATAAAATAAGCATTTGAGCACTATCAGAGATCATTAACCATTTCATACACCACATGCAGCCAGCATGAGGGGTGTCGAAATGAGATTACTGAAGACCGAAGTATCAGATAAAATTACTGAGCTACCCGTCTAGAGAGTTCAGATGGCAAAGTAAGATGGGGTGTGGATAGTAATTTAAATCAAACTCTCCCAATGCAATTAAAAAAAAAAAAATTAAAAGAAGTCCTCTTAATAATTAAAAAAAAAAACACCTTCAAGATAAAAAATTACACCTGATAGTTGGGGAAAAAAACATTTCATTTTACAGGATACATGATATGAAGACGACAAAATATAATTGAATTGAAGTGACAGAAGTTGGACAATAGCAGAAGTTTTGTAGAAGAAAAGTATCTATTAGTTGGAAAAATCACTGGAATACCCTAAAAAAATACATATAACAGGCCCAGGATATTAAAAAAGAAAAAAAAATTAAAAGTCTCCGAGATTTTCAGGCCTCCTGAAAAAGTTATTTATTTATAACCAAATAATATTGAGTGCAAAATAGTTAGGAATACCGCAAGTCCACACTGCAGTCAAAGAATAGTCAAAGATATGAAACTGAATCATAAATCCTACAATTTATCCAACCAATAGATGTTAGTTCAAAGAAATCTGTTAGACGAATAGGAATCAGTGCCTATTTCCGCCCAGAGCAAATTTTAGTCATTAAGCCCCCCCGCCCACAGGTCTGGATTCAGTCAATTCATATACAACAGGATTTAATCCATTCAAATGAAGCATGGCTGTAAGATGCATCTTAGGGATGAGTTTGCGATGTGGCAGAGGAAAGTAGAATGCCGATTCAGCATAATTTTCAGAAACTTCTCTGGTGTGTGTTAAATGCTGTTGCACTCCATCAATCTCTTGACCAGAAGCTTTGACAGGTACCTTCACCAATGATTCAGAATAACTTCAAATGCTGCACTCCATGAAGGCTTGCCAAGCTTCCATCGCTGTCTTATACACACACACACACACACACACACAAACGCGTGCTGTTAGAGGTATAGAGATGCGGATTACTCTTGGGAAGATATGTTGGAATTTTGATGTTAACATGAAAAAGGTGAATGGTTTGCATTATCAGTCAAAGCATTAAAATAGAACATTAGGGAATTAAGAAGACTTTCCAGGAACAAAGCAACATTTGCTGAAAAGTATGCCATGTGGGTGGAGCTTCATATTGTATGATGAACTATAATTAGTATAGTATTAGCTTTGAAAGAAAGGCTTTCTTCCATTAACAGCTTGGAAGAACTGAGCTCTTGACATATATTGAAGACAAAGTGATCAGCTCACTGGAGAAGCGGACAAATGCGGGACAAATTGTTTTTCTAACTCAGATTCAGGTGGACACTAAAATAGAAGCTAGGTGCTTTTGAAGATAAAGAGCCCCTGCGAACGTGTTTATCACACGGGAGGAGAATTTGCAGAGTTAAAAGTACTCTTCCACTTTTCACTGCCACATGGCATGAACTTATCCCTCGGATTATCTTGCATCTGTGCTTCACTTAAAAGGATCGAATCCTGTTGTATGCGAAGTGCCTGAATTGGAATACCTCACCCACTTAAATAACCCCCTCATTCCTGTTATTGTCCTGGTAGTGATAGGCCGCCACCACTCACGCACAGTAGAAAGAAGAGGAAATGTGACTGACTTAGTTCAAATATTTGTGTTATATTTTATTTTTTCAGTTGTTGATTCCCAAGTTCAGGAACCTGTTGAACGTGTCCTAACTTTTAGGGGTTAGTTATTATTCTCAATAAACATTATCAAGTCTGTTATGAGACTGTTTGAATAAGTTTCGTCCACTAAATCTGAAATTCAGGGAAGTGGACAGTTTTCTTGAGTCTTCAGTTATTTTTCAGCCTAATTATACAGCCTGCTCATTTGTAGAAGATATATTCAGAATTAATCAAAGTCTCTTTTCAGTCACTGGAGATTCTCCTCAACTTTGCTCTATTTTTCTGCGTGAGATATTTGATTAGAGAGAGTGAATAGATTATTTACTTTGTTTACCCTTGATCCTACTATTTGGTATCAAGCTTGGTTACGAGATGTCATGCTCCTCTGAACAACAACAAACTAGCCTTCCAGACACCTTTGTCCAACAACTTTCTAAGATGGCTGCTTAGTTAGGTCATCTTAACACTGAGATGGCTGCTCTTAGGGCCTCTCATAGTGAATCTCATGCTGAAGGAAGCAACAAAGACAAAGGCAAGGCATGTGTCCGTGCCTCCAACGAAGATGATAATGACACACCCAAGTGGCTCAAAAATTCCTTGAAGTGACCATATACAAAAATTGAATTTCCCAAATTAGAAGGTGGTGACTTGAGAGGATGAATTCTGAAGGCAGAAAAATATTTTCAATATTATCAAACACCAGATGAATTAAAAGTAGATATTGCAGGGATGTACCTTGAAGGTGATGCCCTTGATCACTGTTTGGATCAACATTGAACAAACCATGCTCTACTAGGAAGAACTCATGAAGATGCTTCAAGAGCACTATGGCCCTGCTGAATTTCAGTAAGGGTTTTTCTCCTTCTAATCGATATAAATCAGCCTATGATAGAGAATTATTGGCTCTTGTTCTTGCTGTTCAGAAATGGAAACATTATTTAATTGGGCATCATTTTTATAGGACTGACCATAGCAGCTTAAGGCATCTCTTGGTGTAGCGTATTAACACTAATTCACAACAAAGGCTTATCTTGAAGCCAATGCCTTTTGACTTCACCATTCTGTATTGGGCAGGAAAGGAAAATATAGCCACAGATGCCCTTTCTTGAAAACCACACCAAGCTGAATTGATAAATTTATCTATAGCTAATTCAAGGCCAAATTTTCAAGGGACAGCCAACATGCTTTTTCACAAAGGCAAGCTAGTGATCCCTTCTATAACCAATGTGCATGCTACTCTACTACAGGAAGCACATGAAACCCCTACAAGTGGCCATGGTGGTTATTTGAAGACTCTTAAGTGGCTTACTGAACAGTTTTATTGGCCCCAAATGAAGGATGTGAAGTTGCATGTTCAGCAATCTTTGACTTTTCAAAAAAAACAAATGAAACTCCTGCTCTTGTGAGATTTTTATAGCCACTGCCAATCCTAGGACAAATTTGGGAAGACAACTCTATTGACTTTATCGTTGGCATAAACATAAAGATATAATTCAAAATGAGCATATACGAGAAATGTGAGCGTAGCACCTATTGAAGAGAAGATGGTAAACAATCATTTGAAATGGTTTAAACATATACAAAAAGGACCGCAGGAGACAACAGTGAGGAGAGTAAAATGACTAATTCCAAACCCTATTAAGAGAGAGAGAAATGTCAAAAAGAACACTTATGAAAGTTGTTGACTAAAACCTCTGTTAACATTTCTAGAAGCTTTGTAGATAATAAAGTACAACGGCATTGTATAATCTATATAGCCAACCCCACCTAGTAAGATAAAACTTGTTGTTGTTGATATCCCCAAATCACAAGGAGTCGACACTATACTTGTTGTGGTTGATCGCTTGAGCAAGAATAGCACTTCTTACCACTTTCTCATCCTTATTCAACAAAAATTGTGGCTAGAATTTTTTGCAAGGAAGTTGTTCGTCTTCACAGCATGCCCTGCTCAATTGTTTCAGACAGGGATTCCATTTTCCCTAGCTATTTTTGGCAATAATTGTTTCTGTCTATGCCAAACCAAGTTGAAGATGAGCACATCCTATCACCCGCAGAAGGATTGCCAAACAAAAGTGGTTAATAGTTGCTTGGAAGCTCACTTTCATTGTTTTGCTCATGAATAGACAAGGAAGAGGAGTGCTTATTTATGTTGGGCAAAATACTGATACAATACTAGATTCCTTGTGTCTCAGGTACTACACCCTTCAAGGTGATCTAGGGGAGGGATCCTCCCCCTTTACACCCAATTGTGAGCAGTGAAATGGCTAATGCTGAGTTGGAAGAGCAGATGTTAACTAGAGATTTGATGCTGAATTTGTTAAGAGACAACCTCTTCAAGGCCCAAGGTCTAATGAAAAATCAGCAAGACAAGAAATGCAAGGAGCTTGTTTTTCATTAAGGCGACTATGTGCTGCTGCGCATTCAACCCTTTAGACAAAATTTCTCTCAAAGCAGAGGCATGAGAAGCTATCTCCTAGATTCTTTGGACCCTACAAAATTATAGGGAAAATCAGAGCTCTAGCTTATGAGCTGGAACTTCCATCTGATGCAATAATCCATCCCATGATGGGATTCCCATCTTCCATGTTTCCGTGTTGTGTCCTGCACATGGTATTTTACCACCATCTTCTCCAGCTCCTCTTCCAATTTCCAATGATTAGGAACTGTTACTGCAACTTGATTGTACATTGGATCATCAATGGCCTTCTGGGAATATGCTGGAATTATTGCTAGCTTGGAAAAAACCAGCCACTTGAAGATTATGACTTGTTTGCTGCTCAGTTTCGAGAATTTCATTTTGAGGACAAGGTGACATTTGAAGGGGGGAGATGTGATAGTCCATCACTACTCACGTACAGTACAAAGAGGAAATGTGACTGACTTAGTTCAAATATTTCTGTCATATTTTATTTTTTCAGTTGTTTATTTCCAAGTTCAAGAACCTGTTGAATGTGTCCTAGATTTTAGGGGGTAGTTAGTATTTTCAATAAACATTATCAAGTTTGTTATGAGTCTGTTTGAGTCAGTTTTGTACACTAAATCTGAAATTCAGGGAAGTGGGTAGTTTTCTAGAGTCTTCAATTATTTTTCAGCCCATTTATATGGCCTGCTTATTTGTAGAAGATATATTTAGAATTAATCAAAGTCTCTTTTCAATCTTTGACTTGGCTACTATTTTTCTTTGAGTGAGATACTTGCTTAGAGAGAGTTAGTAGATTATTTACTTTGTTTACCCTTGACCCTACCAGTCCATCAAAGTAAATAAATTACTCAATAGTACTACATCAAATGGTCAGAAGGTTTGAACCCTAAATACCACTCGCAACCCACCCCATCAAAATATAATTTTTAATACTTAAAAAAAAATTGAGTATAATTAAACAAGAAATCTTGAGTTCCTTACAAAAACTGCATTTTTAGATTAACATCTCAACTAAACAGACTTAAACAGCAAAGTAAAACATATCTATCTTCATCGTATAACAAAGATGAGAGAAGTCACAGGACAGAAAAAAATATTGAAAAATATTGAAAAAGTTAACATTCCACAAAGATTTACCTCAGGAAGCTTTTTTCGGAATACTACATCCAATCGTGCATTGAGGGTATTTTCACACACAATCTTTCCATCTCGAGAAGCCAGCACCACACCTCCAGAGCTAAACATTGGTAAATGTAATGAGGCATACTGAAAACAATAAATTCAACACTACTCTACAGTATTGCAGACAAAATTCAGGAAGCATTCTAAACCAATTACAACACTGGAAGCATGCTACCCTTCAAAGAATTGAACTTCTTTGCATTAGTATATGAAGACAAAAAAAATAAAAATAAAAAAGTGAGCAGCAAGCAAGTCCCGATTAACAGATCTAGAAAAGAATACAACAATCATCCACCACAAAGTACCACACAAAGTATGGTATATGAACAATAAACTGATTTTTGCAGCCACCAACATGAAATTGAATTATGGGAGCCAAAAGTCACTAATAATTGAAAGACATGAGCATTACCAAAAGACACCATGAGGATCATGATGGGTGGGTGCAGGTGGAAGATAGACTTGCTTGTCAACTACAATCTCTGGTGGATGAACATTTGTTTTATCAGCATACTCCTGTGCAGCAGGATTCAACACATCCTCTACCAAATGCAGGTCATCTTTTCGACAACGCAACAGGACTGAAGGTTCTTTCAGTCTTAGCAAACTCTGTAACAGACAATTCTTGAATAACTTTCGAAGTTCACATGCTAACACATAGGCCCTGAAACTAATACCATAATTTGCAGATAGGCAATCCAAAATGATAACACTGGTTCATTGGTGTCACAAGTAAATTGCAAAAGGTTGCGGACATGAACCCAAGGGGAATATGCATAAAGCCTTGATCACATAAAATACAGAAGTAAGAGATGAAAAAAATTAATAGCATCAACATCAGTTATCAGCGTACAAGTATGTACTTCTAATGGAAATCTAAGTAATGAAGGTGTTCCCTAAAAAGAGAAAACCATGGTAATCAATGGCTTGCTAAAGCTTCTATTGGAGCGTTCTACAGTTCTGTGCCATGGTAAGGAAGTAGCATAGCATGTTTCTTGTACCACAGCTATAGCAGCTCTACATGATCAATTTTAATGTGCATGTAGTGTGTACATGAGCTGAATGTAAACGTGAGTGTTCCTTGGTTAAAAGTGGCAGCCAATGGAATTGGGGAGAATTTAGTCAACTCTTCCTTAAGGGCTGGGACCATCTAGGCCTCCCATTCTGTATCATTTCACCATCAACAATTGATAAACTTACACATTGCATCTTCTAATTCTGTTTTGATGATTTCAATTTTGGTTATTTAAAACTTTAACTGTACTAGATATTTCCAATTCCAAGAATGATGTGCTTTTGATTGTTAAAACTTACAGAAAATTGATCTAAAATTTCAAACATCTCAGGATGAAGCTTAGAGACTCACGCTATGTTTGGCTAGAGGGGAGGGGAGGGGAGTAATTTTAATGAAGGGGAGGGGGAGGGGGAAATCCTTGCCAATCCCCCCAATTTGGAGGCGAGGATTTGGAGGAACAAATTTACCCTTCACTCCACTTTGCCAAACAAGAGGAGACCAAACAGGGGGTTAAAAGCTATGTTAAACATTGGTCTGCTTTATGAATGAAGTCTTGATAATGTGTTTTATTAATGAATTTTTCCTTGAGATCTTCGTACAGAAATGGCTTAGTTTGGTTTTCTATACATAGTTAATTATGGTATTTTAATAAGGTGTGCACTATATTGTCAGATAGCTTGGTCCAACTAGGGCACAAGGCACGATAGATTACCATGCAACCAAAACAAATTCAGGTTAAAATCACGAGATCTGGTTTTTATTTACCTGAACAATGAGATCTTTCAGAAGGTTTCTGTACACATGATGATCACGGCTCACATTCAAAAGTTCTTTAGATGCAGCTTCTTTCATTGAACAAACCACATCATCCTGAGCTTGAAGAACTTTTATTCGAGAAGCATTAAGCTGCATAGAGTACTCACTGCAACCAAAAATGATGCCATGAATCTCCATTTATCTTACACCATTTTAGCAAGTTAGAAAATGAAAATATAGAATATTTGGCATCAAGAAACATATTAGACGTCTAGAACTGAACACACACTCATAATCACACAGAAAAGAGTATGCTTTTAGATGCCAAAATTCAGCAATAAACCTCAATTTAAGAATTGCCTCAACATTCCGACGGCTTTGAAGTCATTAAACTCAAGCCCGTTCAGAAGGAAGCAAACTTTAATTATGGTTTCCACTGATCCGGATCAAACAAAAGGGAACAAGAAAAGAAGATCTGTTATACTTAGACACGAAGTCAAGATTCAGCATCATATACGCTCATTAGTCATCGTGTCAATCTCGCACACATGAATTAAGAGCCTTTAGAATACCCCTAATAGTCTCAACATTTAAAATAGAGTTAGGGAGGGAATTCATTCATCTCTAAACTTCAATATTTAACAATTCCCACATATAAATATATGCAACAAAAACAGCATTAGGACTTTCCGAATTGGGAAGAAAAATACGACTTACATCTTCCTCCGAATTTCGACTTGCTTCTCTTTGCGCTCGTATTCTTGCCTGATCTTCTTCTTCTCGGCTTCAACCAACTGCAACTTCTCGATGTTGAATTCCTATGAAAATTAGCAGAACAGTTCAGCATGAATTCATTGGCGATCGAATCCAAAATGGGGCTAAATGTACTAGGACCAATGAGTTCACACAAATGTAATTATACATATAAATCGATAAAGAAAGAAAAAAGGAACAAAAGAGAGGAAGGGTCGGGGCTCGGGGCTACTTCTTCAGCGGAGACAGCGATCTCGTTGGCTTTCTCTTCGGCTTCCTGGCGGATAAACCTGACCATCTGCTGGATTTGCTTAGAGACATCGGCGTCGTTCATCTTTGTGAGAGCGTAAGGGAGAAGATGGAGTGAAAACTAGTAGAACGGAGGAACAAGTGCTTGCTGTTCCTGGATAGATCGGCTACGAGGGGCGACGATGATACGTCTGAAGTTTGGTAAGTGGTAACTGTACTATGAGTTATGAATGTGCCACGCCTTCCGCCCGAATTATGTTACCGTTGTACTCCATGGATCGCTTGTTAATTTATAAATTATAAATATAAATTTGCCATATTTTATATTATTAAATTAAATATTAAATCTCAAATATTATGTATAAATCTCAAATATCAGACTTATTTATAAATGGATCTAAAAAATTTACAAAAACACGTTCGAAACCAGTACAAGTTTTGAGCCCCACCAGACAAGTCAAGTCAGTTCGGAGAAAATGGATTGAATTCAAGTGACCCATTTAAACTCATATTTACTTTTTTAAGAGGATTAGAGAATATTGATATTTTTAGACTAAATTTAGATATCAAAATATGTTTATATTTTAAAATTTGAATTTTTATTACTCATTTTACACTTTAACATTTTAATTTGTTCTTTAAATCTTCGATATGTATTTTAACAATGTGAAAATTATTTTTTATTAAAAAAATTAACATGGGCTTTGAGGCATTGCCATAAACTCCGATTAATAAGGGTTGATCTATAGGAAACTAATAGATATGAGATAATAGGATTTGTGGACTTGAGGCCTTCTGGTTTTCTAGTTTTACTTGATGAGATCTTTATTACAATATGTCAAGGGTGTAAGTAAAGAAATTTCATTTGCAAATGCGTGAGAACTAATTATATTATAATCATAAGTATATGTGAAAGAAGAATGACATTCTGGTGAACTTATGTTTACAACTGATCTTCATAATTTACAATTAAACAAGTTTAAAGTTTACATCAGGTGATGTGTTACCTTGTTGCATCTTGTGATTAGGTCCCAATAAACTTTGGTGTATTTTTTGTAAGGTAAAAACTCATATATTGAATTTTATATATTTATTTTCAATTAAATCAAGACATGTACTCCCTTTATTTAAAAATGTAAGGCATTTTTAATCGAATCTTATTCGTCAATGAAGTAGTTATCTACTTTATAACTAACATTATCTTTCTATATTTACCCTTATTAAATACCCTATAATAAATATAAAGTCATTATCAATAAAGCTATTTTTTGAAAAAAAGATAATGATTATATCTTAAAAGATTAAAAATGCCTTATATTTTTTTAACATTCAATTCTTCAAAAAATATCTTATCTTTTTGAACAGAGAGAGTATGTTTTTACAAATTATTTAATCTATAACAAATTATTATTATTATTATTATTATATTAAAATTCACATACATTAATTTGATTGGATAAAAATATATTAAGTATATAAGCTAAGTAAAAATAAATCCCTTGTTTGAGGGTTTTATGTAATTTTCCCTTCATAAATGATCATAAATTGAGTTGCAACAATAATTTCTCTTTTTGTTCTATCAATTTAATCGATGAACACGGTAAAAACCAAAACTCTATCATATATTTAGTTTAAGCATTCTTTTTAAAAATTTGATTAATTTAAATTTAATAAAATTTAATTATAAAACTCCAATCATTCAAATAAAATTCTAATAATTTAAATAATGCTATTTCTTGCCCAATTTATCAGTTTGCTGTAAAATGTACTATCAATTTGGATGAGGAAAATATGGTTATTAGTCCTATAGCCTTATGGTATTTTGTTATTGATAGTTGTACTTTGATTTTATCATTTCAGATTCTTAATTATAGTTTTTTCTCATGTGCAACATTATTCGATTTATTTTTAAATATGCCTACAAGGATGGTGATTTATTAAATTATCTAACTGTAACTAATGGTAATTGAGTATTAAAATAAGAGAAAAAGGAGGAAAATCACAAAATGTAAAATAACAAAGATCATCCAAAAAACTGAAGACTATGCTTGGCTACTCGAAGACAAAATAAACTCTAACAGCAACATTAATGAAAGAAATATTTGACAAAAAAATCATTAATAAAAAAATAACAACCAATGGCTACAAAATTAGAGGGATAAAATTAAAACAAAGTATCTTGATACGGCCAATGAAACTAAAGTAGAGGTGAAGAGGTGACTTTAGCGTTTGCAAAAATGAATGAAATAAAACTCAACCATTATTTGACGGGCAAAGAAATGATATTAGTTACATATTAAATAATTTAACACTGACAGTACGCATGCTCATCCTCTTATGGGAATATCTAAAAACAGAGGGACTAACATTCTAAATAAAAAAAAAGGAACCTGAAACAATAAAAACAAATTACAAAGACCAATAACAAAACACAATAAAATTATAAGATTAATAGTTGTGTTTTTCCATTTGAATATTTAACTTGAATTTCAATCATAATATAATTTATAATTATGTAGTCCTTAATCTTTAGATTATCAGATTATTATAAAACATAATTAAAATCTTTATCAATAAAAATAAAAAATATAATTAAAATGCATCACAACCATATACTTCATTTGATCCTATTCATAAATCACTTATAATATATTTTACTAGAATTAAAAAAATTAAAATTTATATAAAAAATTTAATAAATTTTCAGCTATCCTCTTAACAAATATAATATACTTTAACAATATTTTTTCTTTCATTAACAATTGGTTAAAAAAACTTATGACTAAAAATTAATAATATAATTTATAAATAGGATTAAAAAATATTTTCTTTCACTCGTAATGTGTATATACATATACACACATGTGCATAGTATTTATGAACAAGATAATTGTAGAAAGTTGTTTGGCAAAAAAAAAAAAAAATTCTAAAAGTGGTGGGGCAGTCCTATGGGCAAACGACTTCCAGGAAGCTTCTCGTTAAGTATTTTTAAAGGACGGGGGGTTTCCTCTATTGCTTTTTTTTACCCCCTTGGCAAAAAGACAAGCCCAAATTGACTGGCAATCTCCAAATCCCAAGGGTTCATATACGCTGCGGATCAAAGAAACTCTCTTACTGGTTTTACATATGTACTTTCTTTTATTTTTTTTTTGTTTTTAATTCTCATTTAGGAACAGATTTAGATAGATTTAATTTATTATGTTTTCACTGTAAAAATAATTCATATATATGCTTAACAAATCATAGGTGGGCAGTGCAGTTTTTTCACCAACATATATTGCTTTAATTTCTATATTTTTTTATTCGTAGAGTCCATAAACCACCACATTGTTTAATGCTATAATAAGTTCCTTCTACCAATTTTTATGACTATGCCTGAGGTTTATCTTTTGCAATTTTACCAAGAAAGTATCATATACACTTTAAAAACATCAATATATTAATAGGCTAAAGTATGTTTATAATCTTCTAACTTTATATAAGGTTTTAATTTAATTTTTTAATTTTATAAATTATCTTTTTAATCCTTTAACCTTGACAACATTACTTTCAAATAATTATTTTTTGTATTAATTATTGTTGTTTTGAAAAAAATTAAAGTTAATATATCAATATTTGAGAATGTTTTGTCAATATTTGAAAGTTCAATGTAAAAATTTATTAAGATAAAGCTAATATTGTTAGGGTTAAAAAATTAAAAAAACACTTTATAAAATTAAAGAACTAAAATAAATATCGTGTAAAATTAAATGATTAAAAGTATATTTTAGCCTATATTAATATAATGAGAGGAGAATAGAGGAGAGTTTTCTCTCTAAGCAGTGAGGTTTTTCCTCATGCTTTATTTATGGTTTTTCTTCTCAGCATCCTTGTTCTTCTGTTTCTTCTTCCTCATCTTCACCTGGTTCTAGATCAGTGGTTTCATGTCTTCTTTTGTTGGCATGGTTTCTTATAAGGATTCTCTCTTTGTCGATCACACTTGATGTAAGCAAGCTCACTATGCCTTTGCACGTGTTCATGACCATAGAAGATTTCATCCTTCAAAGTTTCAAACTTACATTAATCGTCATTGGAATCTTAAAGGAGATGTTTTGATTATACAATTTCATGGCAATAATTTTCTCCTTTTCTTTCCTTCTTCGTTGGATCTAGATTTTATGACAGGAGGGGCCTTGGGTTTTTAACAGTTGCTTAGTTACTCTACAGAAATGGGTTCCTTTCATGCCTCTTCATGCTATTAACTTTTCATCAGTTCCTATCCGAATTCATATATCTGAGGACTTCCTGTTGACTTTTATTCTCTTTCCTTCGCCAAGTTCATTGGTAATTCTCTAGATAGGTTCCCTTGTTCTGATGAAGCTTGTAATTCTTGTTGCCACGGTCTGCAGTAATGGGTTCCTCTTGATCAAGATCAACCTCTCTAGCTTGCGGGATCTCTTCTTTTTCTCAATGGAGCTGGTTTTGAATTTCACATTTATCATGATGAGTAGTTGTCAAGAATATATTTCAATTTTGCTTTAAAGCTGGTCATGTTCGTAATAACTGCTCTCTTGGTTTCTCTCTTACAGTTCGCATTACCTAGGCTTTATGTTGGTCTTTCAAATTTCATGAGGATTGTTCTATTAGTGTGTTTTTATGATATAATGAGTGACACCAAATTGAAACCAAGGGAGGGCAAATGCACCGCTTGGAGAAAATTATAAGAAAAGTCCATGTATTACAATATTTGACATTCCTTGACCAAATATTTTGCACCTCTTAACCCAAATATTTTGCACCACTTGGCGTAACTTTAAAGATTTTAGGTTCAAAATTTTTTTAGTTATTTTTAAACTATCAATTTTAAAAATCTTGCACCCCATAACCTAGAGTCCTAACACCACACCACTCATAGAAGTTAAGGTGTTTACACAAAAATAGAGTATGGTTTAGGTGAGGTTTTTTCTAAATCGCCTTGTTTGTTTATATGATTCCATGTTGGACCTTCAAGTTATTTTGCTACCATTTGGAGGTCCAACACGTAATGCTGCTATTTTCATTTTTTTCCTTTGTGGTTGTAAGTTTTGAAAGCTTACCCATGAAGTAACTACTGCTCTTTTCCATACCATCCTTTGTGTTACTGTCCTACGCGAGGGATGTCAAAATCCTTGGGGAGATTGAAGAGTGCATTGTAGTCCAATTGCTCAGAATTAAAAATTAAACAACGTACTTTCCTACTCGTTGTGCTTTCAATTGGTATATTCA